AGAAGAAGAAGAAGAAGAAGAAGAAGAAGAAGAAGAAGAAGAAGAAGAAGAAGAAGAAGAAGAAGAAGAAGAAGAAGAACCACCTTGGCGCCATAGCCGTGCTCCACGCTGTCGAAGAAGAAGAAGAGGGGTGGAGGCCTTACCTGCGTCAGCGGTACTTACCTGGGCGCCATTGCCGTGCTCCACGCTGTCGACCTGCACAACAACAACAACAACAACAACAAAAACAACAACAACAACAACAACAACAACAACAATAACAACAACCACCAGAAGAAGAAGACGAAGAAGAAGAAGAAGAAGAAGAAGAAGAAGAAGAAGAAGAAGAAGAAGAAGAAGAAGTACATATTTTTAAAAAATTCGAATGAATCATAGATTCTTAAGAATATTCTTTTCTTCATTGTTCTTAATTTTAAACAGATATATTTTTCATTATGAATCAATTGCCTTGGTTAAGTATTATTGAATTATTTCCCATCTTTGTAGGATTTGTTATTCCGTTACTTCCTAGTAGGGAAGAAAAAGAAGAAGAAGAAGAAGAAGAACAACAACAACAACAAGAGAGGGGCGGAGGCCATACCTGCATCAGCCGTACTTAACTGGGCGCCATAGCCGTGCTCCACACTGGCGACCTATACAACAACAACAACAACAACAACACATACCCGGGAAAGCCGTACTTAACTGGGCGCCATAGCCGCACTCCACACTGGCGACCTGAAGAAGAAGAAGAAGAAGAGGGGCGGAGGCCATACCTGCGTCAGCCGTACTTAACTGGGCGCCATAGCCGTGCTCCACACTGGCGACCTGTACATCCACACTGGCGACCTGTACAACAACAACAACAACAACACCACATACCTGCGTCAGCGGTACTAAACTGGGCGCCATAGCCGTGCTCCACACTGGCGACCTGAACAACAACAACAACAACAACCACAACCACATCAAGAAGAAGAAGAAGAAGAAGAGGGGCGGACGCCATACCTGCGTCAGCGGTACTTAACTGGGCGCCATAGCCGTCCTCCACACTGGCGACCTGCACAACAACAACAACAAACCTGCGTCAGCGGTACTTAACTGGGCGCCATAGCCGTGCTCCACACTGGCGACCTGCACAACAACAACACATCCCTGCGTCAGCGGTACTTAACTGGGCGCAATAGCCGTGCTCCACACTGGCGACCTGAACAACAACAACAACAACAACAACAACAACAACAACAACAACAACCACAACCAGATGAAGAAGAAGAAGAAGAAGAAGAGGGGCGGAGGCCATACCTGCGTCTGCGGTACTTAACTGGGCGCCATAGCCGTGCTCCACACTGGCGACCTGCACAACAACAACAACAAATACAACAACAACAACAACAACAACAACAACAACAACAACATGAAGAAGAAGAAGAAGAAGAAGAAGAAGAAGAAGAAGAAGAAGAAGAAGAAAAAGAAGAGGGGCGGAGGCCATACCTGCGTGTTACATACTTCAATGAGTATGGGC